TGTGACGAATGGGCAGTGGGCTGCTTGGTGGCTAACTCACTAAAAAATCACCTACGAAGGACAAGTGGTTTGGACCAGTGCCAATGGTCCCTATCCGCACACAGGGGCCGTGGGGCTTGTTGTGGTAGGGAGGAAGACTACATGGATCAGCACGCGAGACTAGCGAGAGCAACGCTTTTCTTTCAAATGCCCACTCTAACTCCTTCGCTAAGACCGGTGGCGCCTGGAAGAGTTACCTTCTTACTTTTGTGGCTTCAGTTTCCTCGTCTGTAAAAGTTGGGTAAGAGGTATGGCTGAAATATTCATCGTAGATACTTTATTATGAGAGGTTAAATATGTTATAATGCTTAGGAATAGTGCCCTGAACAACAAGCTAATGTGAGGCACCTGCTATTTTTACTATGGAGAGATATGGATTTGGACTTTTTGCCTTTTACTAACCCACCTGAGTTGAGCAAGAGGAATTAAAGCAGTTGGAGTGCGGAGGGTTGGCTCATTTGTGCTGACATTTTCCTATCTTTTCTTTTCTTTTTTTCGTTTCTTTTTTTTTTTAAGACAGAGTTTTCACTCCTGGTGCCCAGACTACAGGCTAGTGGAATCATCATAGCTCTGTAACCTCCAATTCCTGGGCCCTCAAGTGATTCCTTCTTGCCTCAAGCCTTCCAGGAGAGTAGCTGGGACGAGACAGGGCACATGGAACCCACACTGTAATTTTTCTGTTTTTTATCGAGCCACAGGACTCTCTTGCACTTGCTCAGGCTGGATCTCAAACTTCATGGCCTCCAATCGGATCTCCTGCTGTTGGCCTCACCAGTGCTAGCCAGATGTGCCCGTCCTGATTTTATCTTTCATGGATTTCTCAAGCTCCAATCAAAGAACCTGAACTCAATACGCCAAACGTGCCAGCATTTTTTAAGGTGGGTTGCAAACATGTGTGCAACACTTGGAATGGTAGTTTTGCAGGTTACTAGGTGTTATTTTAAGAGTTTTGTGGTCAGGTAAGCTTGGCAAACATTGGGTTAAACTAAGGTAAACAGGGTTCTTTATCTCAGGACTTCTCAGACCATCTAATTTACTGTGTGCAGTGAGGATATCTTTATAATAAAGTCACAGTATTCAGAGTTTTGCAAACCAGTTTGGCCAAGGAACCCTTTTTACTTTAGAGACTGGTTTTCCACAGAACACTTTGAGAATGCTGCTTTTGCAGATTAGTTGACTCTTATAACACTTGAGCGCACCATGCTAGGCCCCAGAACTGTGAGCACAGCATTAATAGATGCTTAAAAAGTGTTGTGTGAATAGCCATTGAGGAATTTACTAGAATGTAGATGGGTAGAATAATTAGAAAGCAACACAAAGCTATTTATATAGTTCATCCCTGATATTTATTGTAATGTATTTTAGTTACAGAAATTATATCAGAAAGGATAACTGTAAAAACAAAAAGGCAAACAAAAGTCAGCATAGCTAAGCCTTCTTCAGCTGCTGTCATTATGGCCAAGAGTTTACCCTGTACTTACAAAGCCTGCATTTCCCCTTTCTGCCACAAGATGGCTCTTTGAATCACATATCAGTGAAAGTTCTAGAGTTGATCATTTTCCTGAGACCTGCTGGGAAAGAGATGTATGAGTGAATTATCAAGATGAAAAGTGAACTACAGGTACTTTTAAGGACATATCAGTGTCAAAAAAAGGAGATCTGTCTTTAACAAAGTGCTAAAAATTCAACAAAGGGGCTAGATTACTGTGGATTGGAATAAACAATCAGGGAAAGCTTTGTAGAGAAGGTGACTTGAGCTGGACTCGAAAGGTGTAGAATGCGGATAAACAGAGGTGATGAGTGAGGACACTCCAGGCAAACGCACAGAGGAAGAAGGGGCACAGTGTAAGTGGAACAATTAAGTAAACAGAAAGCAGAGTTTGAATGTGCAAGTGAGCACTGGTGGCAGAAGACAATGGAGGGTCCCAGATGCTGGTTATTCTAGTCCTGCCTATCCATCTTCTTGGGCCCAAGTAATGTTAACAGCCGGCCCCCACCTCCCATCTGGTTTTGTTCATGACTGCACGCTAATGCACACTACTCTTCCTGAAGTCCTGCCCTGTCACTTTGCTAAGAACCTCTGGCATCTCCTCCTGCCAACCATTTCAAGTTCAGGCTTGATTCAAGCTCAGACAGTGTGATAGGAACACACAGAAGCAATTTCATTCCTCTAACCAATTGGTTTAGGAAACATGGGGCCTACGATCATCTATTCTTATAATTTTTGTTTTAAACTCCAAAACTCCATCATCTTGGAAAGAGTTTAGAATATAATGTGACATCAGTAAACACTACAAGCAGCCCATATATTAATGGCATATTTCCATCTTATGCCCTTACTAATTTATTTACTTTGTTTTAAAAGTGGCAGTGTGTAAGTATATGTATATATTTAGTTATTTTTAAAAGTTTAGAAAGATAGAGAAAATTTTAACCATTATCTCTGAGTGGTAGAATTTTCTTTAGATTTATCTGCATTTTCTAGTTTTTTCTTAAATGAACATACATTACTCCATACTAAACAAAAGTGACTAATAAAAACTGATTTAATTTTTCTCTCTGTAAATGGGGATTAAGACATAGTATAGGCCAGGCCCAGTGGCTCACTACTATAATCCTAGCACTTTGGGAGGCTGATTTGGGATGATTGCTTGAGGCCAGGAGTTCAAGACCAGCCTGAGCAACCTGGTGAGACCATGTCTCTATAAAGATAACAAAATTAGCCAGGTGTGATGGTATGTGCCTGTAGTCCCAGATTTGGGAGGCAGAGGCAGGAAAATCGCTTGAGCCCAGGAGTTTGAGGCTACAGTGAGCTATGATGACACTACTACACTCTAGCCTGGGTGACAGAGTGAGAGCGAAAAACAAACAAACAAAACACACAGTATATAGAAGCTTGGTGAGACATCAATAAATATAGAAGCTTACTGTGGCTTGTAAATTCTTTAAAATTAGCTTGGGAGAGACAAATACATTTCAGGGTCATTGGAAATAATCATGGCAACTTCTTTCAAGTAAATTCAATCTTCCAACTGATCTGAATCTGGTGCACAGAAGAGAGCATAACAAAACCAAACGTTTCTCTTTCTACCTTCCTAGATTTGAATTAAACAGAAAGAACTTTCATCTGCAGTAGGAATTCTTAATCTGAGGTCCTTGGATGAGCCCCTGAAATATGCTACTTTGTGCATATTTGCACAAAGTGTGCACACTTTTCAGGAGAGAGCCGTTGGTTTTAAAAGAAGTTAAGAACTACAAATTTAGACCTGGAGAATCTTTCTACTTTAGAAGATATTGAGACAAAGCCCTTGCTTCTAGGGCTAAGACCACTTAAAGTGGACAGCCGAGCAAGTCAAAAATGACAGTGAAGAAACAAGGGTGAAGATGCTACTAACCGACAGAAGCACCTTGAAGTGTAATGTGTGACTGGTTAAAGCATGACTAGAAGTCAATAATGTATCCAAGTGGATGTTGTCTTCTTATACCATTAATAACTTTCCTTAGTGATGCTGATTGACAGACAGATCTTTGGAATGTCAGAGCTCATGATATGGTCATTTGAATCGTCTGAACAATAGCAAATCTTTTTTTTTTTTTTTTTTTTGAACAGAGTCCTCCTTTTGTTGCCCAGGCTAGAGTGAGTGTGTGGCTCAGCCTAGCTCACAGCAACCTCAACTCCTGGCTCAAGCAATCCTGCTGCCTCAACTCCCGAGTAGCTGGGCTACAGGCATGCGCCACCATGCCTGGCTCATTTTTCTATTATATTAGTTGGCCAATTAATTTCTTTCTATTTTATAGTAGAGACGGGGGTCTCACTCTTGCTCAGGCTGGTTTCGAACTCCTGACTTCGAGCAATCCGCCCGCCTTGGCCTCCCAGAGTGCTAGGATTACAGGCGTGAGCCACCTCGCTTGGCCTGAACAATAGCAAATCTTGCTCTTTGGGGTTGAATTTGAGTTTTGTCAATTGCCAAGTGCTACTTAACATGAATACTGGTGAATAACGAGGCAATCAAGTTGGGTAAATACCCATTTTCGGCTAAAAATGAGTAAAAAAATCACAAGACTTTTTCTTAGTTGATTTATTTATTTGACTTTTAAGCGCTTCCAGAAACATTTTGAACAATGACATCGCCAGATAAGTATGTAGCTCCCAGAGGCAACTGCTTTGAAAGACGATATTTGGATATACTTAACATATGTGGGGCTCTTTATAGGCAAACCTCATATGTACGGGGTAGCTTTCATCTAATGTACTAATTAACATAAACTTACCCTTTGCGTTGCATCTCCTGGGACTTGTAATGCCTGTCTTTATTCTTTTTATCTGGAGTTACATTTTTTTTCTTCTTCTGTGCAACTGCCAGATATATTGATGCGGCCAATGCTTTGGAGCACGAAACTAAACTGGGCTTACGACGCTTTGAAGTCTGTGACAACGTTGACCTTGAAACTATTTTGATGGAATATGAGAGCTATTATTTTATAAAATTTCAGAAATACCCCAAAATTGTCAAAAAGGCATCAGACACAGGTACATGGCTATTTTCTAGAAATGAGGCTTTATCTCCTCTTTAAGATTAGTGTTCCTTCCTCATCTTATACCTAGATAAATGGAGACCCTCACCCTACACTGAAAGAGTAGATCAGAAAAATAGTGTAGCTACTCTTAGATCCAGTGCAGCTAACTGAAACATGGTCAACTGGACGTTGGCGTCCCTTTACTCTTGGGGGCATTTGTTTAAGGAGTGTATATATCAGGGCAATGACAACGAAACCCCAGTGTATCACAGGTACTTTTCAGAAGACTGACATTATTTTAATTTCTTTAGAGATGAAAAGAGCTGTTGGAAGAGGATAAATAACAGAAGACTTTTTCTTGTTAGGAAGACCTATTGTCTAACTTGAAAATAACATGAAAATGAGTATTGGGGAAGCTAATAGCTCATGTATAGATAATGAAATGCTTTTGAAAGCCATCAATCCAGATGATGATCAATAGAATGCAAAGACCCAGTATAGGTTAGCAGTCAAGGAGGCTGGCTGGAGGAAAGATCTAAAGTGAGGTCCTTATGCTCTATAGTGACATTGACTTAGAAGTTTGTAAGTGGGGGAAGTAATTATAAACCAAGGGAGATCATTGTCCTGTTTACAAGGCACTTGTTCAGCCACAGACTTTAACATTTCATGTAGGGACCCGGAAACCAAGAGGAGCATCAGCTAAAAATAGCCCAGGGCCAAATCTCAGAGCTAGATGGGGTCTAAGAGATATTTTATTTGAGCTCCCTTCCCATGCAGGGTTCAGAGCCTGGCTTCCTCGGCTGGTTGTTAGATCTAAGTCTTGAAGAGAAAGCACTGACTCCTAACCACAGGGTGATTGGCACTGTTAGCGACATGAGCTCGTTTCTAGATGGCTAGTTCTCATTTAGCGTGGTACTTTTCTCCTGTGATATTGGGCACAGTGTCTCTATTTTAAGGTAAACTGGCAGAGTAGAATTAAATGCTCCCTGCCAGACTCATGCAATTACTCTGGTGTCCCATGCACCATAGCAAAACAGTGTCAAGTGCAGAAAACTTAATGAAGTTAAGCTGTAAAGCCTGCCCACACTGGAGTCACCAGCAGGTCTGTGGACTCTAACACATTTAATATCTGAAGCCTTTGGGGCCTTTCAGACCCCAAAGTGGAGATGCTGGAGAAGCCAGGACTCTTTCCTGTCACCAGTAATTTCCCTTGTCTCTAGATGAAAATAGCTTAGAGTTTCTGGATTCTAATAAGTGATAGCACATATTTTAAGAACAATGTAAAAAGGAGAAACTTACCTGAAAAATCACTGTCTCTCTCTTAAAATGAAATTCTTTCCTTTTCCTCCCAATGTTTGTTTTCTCACAGCAGAAAATAATTTACCACAAAGAAGTGGAGGGAAGACCAGAAGGTAAAGTGAGTGGTAATTCACCTTGATGAACTCAACTCTAGGAGTGTGTGGGACCCCTTTCCAGAAGATTCTCTAGTGCGGCTCTGTGACCGACTCCCAGCAATACCGACTGTGGTTACGTGACCTTGCTGGGCCCCTGCATGGATTCCCCTCCTGTGACAGCTGTCCAGGGTTTGGGTCAATGTCTGTCCGTTCTCCTGGCTTTACCACAAATAAGTGCGCTCAGTGATGCTCGGTCTTTCTAGGCCCTGTGGTCTCACAAGTGTGGACCTCAGTGGTTAAAAGACCCAGGTTCACTTCCTGGCTCTGCTATTTACAAGCAGGGAGCAAGTTTCTGACACGCAGTGAGCTCCCGGCACATAGCGAACACCCAGGAAATACGATTTTCCCTTTTTAATCATGTAGTTAATCTCTTTGTGCACCCTCGGCTCCCGCGCCCTGACCTGTCTGAAGATGATCAGTAGAGCAGGAGGTTCTCGCCCACACTTCCGCCGTCTCTAGTGCCGGCCTGCGCGGCTTCTTCTTTTGCTTTTCCCTCCTTTTCCCCATGCTCAGCTTATATTCCTCTCTCCAGCTTCCCAACGCCAAACCTCATCTGGGACTCATAGCATCTGATGGGGGCCCCCCTAATCTCAGCCCTTCTGGGTAGACACTTCCCACAAGGCTCCCCTTCCTGCCTCAGTGTCCTCCCCACTCCTCCCTTTCCACCCCCCTAAGACCCCCCCAGGCCCACCCCCCGACCCCTCCCCGTCACACGCTGTTCAGAAATGCCCAGGGGTGCTGGGGTGCCGCTGCTGGGGGCATGGCCGGCTTTGGGGCATCAGGGGCTGAGGATTGTTGCTATTATAATAAAGTGGAAACCTCAGGGGCAGGTTAAAGTGGGCTTCCCGCAAGGGCCACCCAACCATTCAGGCAGTGAACAAAGCATTAAAAATATTAAAATGCTGGTGGAAAAAGAAAACTTGGATTGTGATCACAAGCAACTTATCAGGCCCTCAAGAGGTATGAGTGCCATATGCCCCCACTAAGTTCCCTGCTCTTGTGACTCCAGTTCCCTTGTCTACAGCCTCAGAAGGAAGGGACAGGGGACCCCTCTCAGGGCTGTTGGGCATAGCTTATAGAAATGGCCGCGGAGCCCATGCACGCTTCATGACAACGCTTATGGTAGTACTGTGCCTTGGGCTAGCTTTGCTCTGTGCTGTCTCTTCTTTAGGAACTGTTTTATCGTTTTGACAAAAGTGTTCTTTTGTGTATAGTTTCCATAGACCTACTCAGACTCTAGCAATAAATGATACCTAGCGAATAGGAGCATTTTAAGAGGGCAGCTCCGGAGCACGCTCGGATCCTGATTATTTTTCAGCCACATATTTGTGCCTGGCACCTCCTCAGCATTCTGTCCTGACAGATATCCCGTGAGTGAATCATGTTGAGTGCTTTGTTCCCTTTAGGGCTGGGGCACGGTGGCACGTTTGACTGAGTGGGGTCTCTTCACACCCTCTCTGAGTAGACGTTTGTACGTGGCAGGTGTAAAGGTTGGATAGCAAATGGTGAGAGTCAGGAAGATGATTAGGAAAGTAGTGAATGGTGTTTCTGTGGACAGTTTTATACTCAATGATCGTTATTGAAATGAGAAGTTGTATTATGAAACTGGCTATTAGCAAATCAAAATGTCTCTTCCTAATCTCGCATCTCACACCAGAGAGCACACTCCCAGTTTACAGATTTGCTGATGACCCAAAGGAGGTAAGGTCATCTAAAGTGATGGATGATGGAATTAGGATCAGGTCTAGACAATTGGGAAGATGGGCTCAAGGTAACAAGATTACATTAACAGAATAAGGTTTAAGCTCTAACGAAAGAGTCACCACAAAGAGTTCCCCTATTACAGAATCAGAGACCTAGAAATCTGAGTTAACTGCAGGTGACTGCACCGGAGTCCACAGTGTGACACGATTGCTAAGGTGGTCTCAGGCCCCATCAATAGAAATACAGTGTCCAAAATGTAGGAGGTCACTTTGCTCTGATCAGAAGACAGTAAACAAAGGGAAGGTGACCAGAATGAGGAAGAATCTGGGAGCCAGGTAACTTTAGGAATGCCTGGGGCAACTGGAGAGGTGTAGCGTGAACAGAGGAGCGGGGGACGAGGGCTCTTAGAATAAGGCAGTAGCAGTCTTCACCCTATAAAGCGTGATGCAGCTTTCTCAGCAGAATTCCAAAGGGCACACCTCAGACTGGTGGCTAAAGTTAAAGTGGCGTGAACTTGATTCCATGTTCGGAAGAATTTTATGATCATTATGCTGAAAATGAGTTGCATTGCTTGACACATTGGTGCTCTTGTCTCTTGGTCGTATTAAAGCAGATATTCTGATTAAAACCATGGAAAATCCCTAGATTTCCTACTATTTCTTAATTTGAGAAGGAGGATGCCTTCTTCCCCTCACACCTTTCTGCTCGTTTGATACTCCTCTTAAGGAAGGTGGAAGGAACAATGGAACTGGGCTCGTAAAACAGTGCTATCTTAGGAGCTAAAGAGGTTTGCAGTAGGGCTGAAGCCATGTGCTGCGAAGGAGAAATGAAGGGAGTGAGTCGGGGGCCTGCAAGAGATGAACTGTCCAGCCTGGTCTTGGGAAAGTCCAATGACCAGGCTGGAGGGAGTCAGGGCCAGGATGGACCAGGTGGGCAGATAGCCTGACGGAAGAGCCCTGTTGTGGCTGTCTGCATATCTTTCAAGAACTTTCTTCAGTGTGCTCTACTAGTTGTTTATTTACTTCAAATTCAGTGAGTAGAATAATTTCTTCCAAGGTCTTTGTTCCCTCCCTTAGGGTGGTGAGCGACAGTAGTCAAAATCTTCCCAGGATCACTCAGCAGAGGCCACGGTCCAAAACCACTGCTGGGAAGACAGAGGACACCAGGTCTCTCAACAAGGAGCATCCTAAACAGGTCAGGATGACTCGGCTTGACTGTGGTAATGTCACACCTGGCTGAGGAGTAACCCAAAGAATCGAGGACCTGTGCTTTTAAAATTGCTGTGTGATTTAATTAAATTGCAGGTTGCTTTTTTTCTTTTTTTTTTTTTTACAGTATCCTGGGTTAAAACCACGAATGAATCCCTAGAATTTCCTACTGTTTCTTAATTTGAGTGGGAGGACTCCTTCCTCCCCAGGCTTTGCCCTGGTCTGCGTGCTGGATGACAGGTCTCAGAGGGGTGGGTGGGGCCGGGCAGGGCTCCATCCTCCATGTGAGGTCACTGTTACTCTGGGTAACTGCCTCGGCAGGTCTTCCTGTCCCAGAGTACAGCGCTGGGTTCCTAAGTGTCAGCCAGGGACAGTTTCGGCTGTGGTTGGTGCCAGAGGCTCCTCTTAGGCTTCTCCAAAATGCACGTGGTTGGTCCCGACCCCAGATCTCCACTCTGGGCAGCAAGAGGAGACAGCCCAGCAGGTGGGTGAAATCAATGGCTACCCACTCAAGAGATCCACGTCCAGAACCTTCCTATTTAGGACAAAACGTTCCAGATTTCAAAGGAAAGAGGAACTTGCTCAGTTTCAACGGAAGCTCAGAAAAGGAATGGCAAAAATCAATGTCAAAGATGCCTGGCAGACTAGAAAGAAATAATCACAACACTCTATTGGTCAAAAGGCATCTCTCACCCTTGAGAAGGTTCCATGGTCTGGCCGCTGTAGCCTGACTCCGGTGGGAGGGAGGGAGGGGCAGGATGAATCCCACAGGAGGCTGGTTGGCTTTGCTGAGTCACCAAACCCAGCCACCCCTGGCCACAAACACGGCTGGTCACAGGATAAAGGACGGGCCAGGGAGTGGGGATGGGTTGAGGCACAACTGTCTCCTCCATTGGAAAAGCTGCTTGGAGTCCTTGGCCTGGGTCTTCTCAGTCTTCCGTGGACAGCTCATTCCATGTGGCACAGGCAGATAACTAATTCGTCTTGTTGGGTCAGCACAAAAGTGGCCGGATTGCCCATGGGCTTCCCCATTGGCAGGACGGCCCCCCAGCATTGGAGCTTGCACGCCGGGATAGGGCAGGCAGTTGCGACCAGCATCGGTCCTCGCTTCCCACCGCTGACTTCTCCTGTCTGTCTCTTCCTTCAGGAGGTTAATAACACCCACCTGGACAACGCCGACTTTGGCTTAAATATATCCAGAATCAACAAAGACAGTGGAGAGGGGAACGCCCACCCACGAAGAGTAAGTGGGACTCATAAACCCAACACCGAAAGGAGGAATTTCTTTTTTTTTTTCAAAAATGAAAATTGAAACCATTATTTTTGCTAAACAGGAAAGTTAAAATGTAATGATTGAAGGTAGGTGGTGAGGTGAACCAGAGCTCTGGATGAGGTTGAGGAAGCGGGTTCCGATCTGGGATCTCCTTTCTGGAAGAATGGTCTCGAATGAACTAACTGCCCCATTGCTAAGGAGCTCAGTTTCCCCATTTGGGAACTGAGGGGTTTGGAAGAGATTGTTTCTCACGCTGCTTTCAGCTTTAAAATTCGGTGATTAATGACTAAAGTGGCCAAATCACACATGGGCTTTTGGTGTGACTGTCATTTGGTGTGACAATCACACTTTTGGTGTGACTGTCCTGCATTATTTCATGAGTTGGGGCCGCATACTCGTTCTCTTCTGCCCTGCCGGTTTGGTGGCAATTGGTTAGTTGTCTCACCTGTCTCCTTGGAGACAGGCTCCAGGTTTAAATGTGATTTCATATGAATCATGAAAACTCAGTTCCTATAGGGGTGATCTTGTCCTTGATGGCTATTTCTACCCTTTGCATAATGAATTTCATGTACAGATTTGTAAATAATAATTTCTCAAACAGAAAAGACCCAGATTGGGTAGATGTATTCAAAGGGTAGGTTGGCACATGTCATTTGGAAATGAAAAGCACCACATTTCTCTTGATTGTACCCTCTAGGGTTCTAGTTCTTTAAGAGTCTTCTTTCTTTTCTTCAGTCGAGCTCTGGAACCGCTGGGCACTGACTTAGCTCTGGCCAGCTCTTCTCAGGCACACTGAACTCTGCGTGTGAGTTCAGAGGGCGGCTGGAGCATGTCCCTGGACCTCAAGGGGGGCTGCCTCCTTGGCCTGCACTGGCTCCCTTTAAGGGCGTCAATGACATGGGTGATTGCTGGAGATGACACCATTTGAATCACTGCCTCCCACAGAGAAATATGTCCCTGTTCAGTTTCGCTGTGTTTGTCGTGTCTTCGGTCACCTTTGTGCTTAGCAATTCTGTGGCATTCGTTTCCCTTGTGAATGCCTCCCATTGATATGAATGGCTGTTTCTGATTGGGGCACCAGGAAGGGACTATTTAACCCAGCACTTAACCTTTGAAATAGTCTGGCTATAAATTCTCTTTCCAGCAGAAATGTCCTCAGGGTAAAAGGTAGGTGGTTGTCTCCCTAGCATGGCAAATGTTCACAGGCTCTATGGTCGGGGGCCAGTCTCCAAAATGGATCTGTCATTGCCATATTAGGGACCCTGGCCTCAGCATCCCAAGGCCCCCCTGCCCATTTAGTAGCTGCGCTGTTCTTAATTAAGGACGTGGGCTTTGGAGTCAGCCTGCGTAGGTTCAATCCCCAGCTCAGTGGCTTCTTCAATGTGTAACTTTGGGCGAGTTATTTACAGTTTCTCCTAGTCTCACTGTAAAATGGAAATAATCCCGGTGCCCCACTTTAAATCTTTAAATGTCATAATGAAAGGGGCGCCTTAATACAGAGCCCGGCACATAAGAAACACACAATAAATGTTGGCTATTATTGTTATTGTTTTTTGCACACATCCTTGCTTTTTTTCTTCCTTCTTCTAGGAGAGACAGGGTGGCATTGGAAGGAGTATGGGTTTTGGAGATGGATATCTTAAAGATGGTTTGAATCCTGGCCTTAAGTCACTTGTTAGCTGTGTGGCCCTGGGCAAATTACTTAACCTCTCTGAACTTTCACATGTATGAAACTAGAATGTCATTCCCAACTAGCAGAGGTGGTATAAGAATTAGAGATAATCCTTACAAAATGCCTTGCACACCTGTTTTGCACCAGGTACTCTATTGAGTGATGAATGTGCATTATAGTCAGTAGACAGGAACTATTGTTACTCTTGTTCCAGTGAGTTCTTCCTGTGCGTGTAATATTTTAAAAGGACAAGAGGTCATACCAGGGAAGTAGTTATATAAGGAAGCAGACAGTTTGTGTCAGGAACTGAGAAGTCTGGTGGATTTTTATTTAAGTCAACTTCATTCTGAAGAGTTTATCATTTTTTTAGGAGTGCACCAACTAACTTGAAGAAATTATCTTGTTCAATACTAGTGCAGGTTCTTTTTAAAGCTTACCTGTAAGTTTGCCCTGTATGCCAGGGTATATAAATATGTCTTCATTTAATAAGGCTGAGCTATAAGGAGAGTGTTTTCTCATGTTTTCATGGCATGAATAACCGTTCCTTCCTTTTAGGGCCAAATCATTGACTTCAGGGGGCTGCTCACAGATGCTATCAAAGGAGCAACCAGTGAACTCGCCTTGAACACCTTTGACCATAACCCAGACCCCTCAGTAAGTGGCTAAGATGTGACATTCGTCTTTCAAATTGCCAACATCCAGATAAACTTTAGAACTATAATTCTGAGCACAGTGAAACCTTAAGATCAAGGCAAAGGTCACAGCAACTTGCCACTGTTTGTCTCGCTTAGATCCATGTCCTGTGTGTCTTTCAAAATTATGAAGCAGTGTTGTAATGCGAGCCTTTCTGCTCCCATCGTCAGGAACGACTGCTGAAACCTCTGAGTGCATTTATTGGCATGAACAGTGAGATGCGAGAATTGGCAACCGTCGTGAGCCGGGTAAGATCTGATATTCAATTCACAAATTTACGGAGGCGGGCCGGGGCTTCTGGAGCATTGCGGGCTGCTTCTTTTATTAATAACAATAAATATGATCATTTATTTATAAAGTGCCCCCACTTGCAAAGGCACTCATATTGTTTAGAGGCACAATAATGCATGATAAATAAATGATAGAATCATAAAATTACAATATAAAAAGCTCACCATCTCACGATAGAGGCCAAGAAAACCGAGAGAGAAAAAGACTTAGAAATGAAGGGACAGGTGAAAGGTTTTATGGCACAGCCAAGAGTCAAGGCAAGAAAGCCACTTAGAGAAGGGAAGAGTATGTCTGCATCTTGTTGAAAAAGTCAAAGCCTAGAAATAGAGATGTCAGGAATCTGATGGTCTCATAACTGAAATTTTCCATGAAAAACAAAATCAGTAGGAAAGACTTTACCATCCAGGCTACTGATTTTTTTTCAAGTTCGCACCCTGGAATCAAAAGTCTGTAAGCAGCGATGCTTAATGTTTAGTGACACAGGCTTTGGGATGAGTTGACCTGCATTTGATTTCTAGATCCTTCTCTTTCTAGCTGCGTGACGTTGGGCAAGTTTCTTGGGGAATAGAATACATTCTTGAGTTATAATTTCTATTTTTCAGTGACTCGTATTTAGCTGAAGACTGAAACCTAGACAGGCTCAGAGAGGTATTTAAAATGATCCAAAAAATGCACAGAGACTCTGAGTAACTGAGGGTTCCTCGGCTGTTTCTGTTCAGTGGAGCAGTGGTTTCATGCATGCCCGTTATATGTCAGACGTGTTCTGGGTGCCGGAAACATAAAGGTGCCCTAGTTGCACACATCTTTGTCTGAAGGAATTTCTCATCCCACGGGCAAGGTTCACTTTGAGAGCACGAAGGAGAGAGGGATGTATTTCGCCAAAGAATGGGGGCAGGGGAGGTTAAGGAAGAAGATACGCAGGAAATAGCTAAGTGGAAGAGAGACAGTGGGAGGCGTTCTGGGCAAAAGCACATCTGTGTGAAATCGCATAGTTTGGGAGCCACCCTAGAAGCAGGGAGTGCTGGGAAACAGGGTTGAGAAGGGCTGCCAATTGGCCTTTAGAAGACAGGATCTTTGAAAGGCAGCCATCGGGAGATGGGACCATCACGTGTGCTTGTGGATAGCTTGTGCTGATGACAGTGAGGTGGAGAGAGAGCAAAGGAATGGGGGTGAGGACGCCAGCTGTGAGGCTTTTACCAGTGGGGGGGGGGGACAAAGGACTGAGCCAGGCTGCAGTAACTGGGACGCATGAGAGAGCAAAGTGTTTTTTACACCCACGACCATCAACAGTCTCCTTACCATTTTTGCAGAAGGATAACATGACCAGTGAGGATAGAACTGTAGAGTGGAAGTGGCCCGAAATGATCCCATCGGGAATTCTTTCCACAGTACCATGGGAGGTAGTCATCCCGCCCCCTGCTTGAATGCTGACAGTGGTGGAGAGTTCACCACCTCATGGGACAGTCCTGCTGAGCTGTGACTGATAACTTTGGATTGATACAAAGAGGAACTTTTGGTTGGGAAATTAAATGCTACCTTGTGCAACTCAATGTCAACTCTAAAAGAGGGCAAGAAATATTGTATTATCTATGGGTGGTTTGAATGCCAAGGTAGATGAATCTTTACTGTGTGCCAGGACTTCTCCAAGAAAGGACTGTAATAAGAATGTGAGTGGCTGGTGGGCCCGCATGTAGATCCAGGCTCTGAAGTCAGGGGGAGACTGAGTCCTTTCTCCATCATCCCATCCAAGAATGGATTATGCATATTAAGCACAACCAAAGCAATAGTATTTCTAATAAAAGTGACACTCCTGTGGTGGAGGGAATGGGGTGGTGGGAGACAAGAGTAGGCACAAACATCTCCCCAGCATTTAAAACATGTATTTATGTTTTTGAACCATGTGCATATATTATTTATTAAAAAATTAAAGAAATGTAAAAATAGTCTCCAGATTTGTTCCATAGTCACTCAGAATGACTTTGGAAAGGAGGTTTTTTTTTTCTTTCTTTTTAATGGAACACTCTAGATATTTAGTTTGCCTGAAACGGCTCCTACTGAGAAAGGCCCCTGAGTGACTATTCTGAGGCGTCTTGTGAAATTGAAGTTTGGAAACTGTAAATTAGTTATCAGTAAAAGCTACCTTAATTGATTACCCTAGATGGTTGCTATAGGGCTCTACTATAAGAGGGGAAAAACTGCACTTGTGCTGGGTTGTCAGCTTCCTTGAATTTTGCAGAAGCAATTGTTCCTGCTGGATGTTGGGGACGATCGCTAGGGAAAAAAGAGAAATTGGTTTCAGAGGAGCATTATCTCTTTTATGTAACCAATTAAGAAAGTGTTTGTGAGATCAAGGAGCAAGAGGGAGGCCAGGCGCTGACCAGGAACTATGCTTTGCAGTAAAAGCTAATGTAATTTGAAGGCATATTCTGTAGCTTCTTTAATTATGGTCGTAAATCAGCATGGTTTGCTATTGACTGAAGATAGGTAGAGTCCATTGTTAGATTTTTTTTTCTCCCCTAAAAGTACCATATTATATTATCAATGTCTTTTTCAGGGAAAATCATTGACTATTTTCATGGCATGCCTTTGGTGAACTAACCCAAAATTATAATGTGTGTGTGTGTGTGTGTGTATATATATATATGTATATATATATCTAATATGAAAAGTTTTTTATCACCAGCACTTTATATCCTATTATAAGTCAAGTATTCTGCTGCTCCCATGTTTATTACAGCTGTAGAGGAAAACATCAGTTTTAACAAAATGATCAAATGTGCATTGCAGGACATTTATCTCCATAATCCAAACATAAAGTGGAATGACATTATTGGACTCGATGCAGCCAAGCAGTTAGTCAAAGAAGCTGTTGTGTACCCTATAAGGGTAAGGATGGAAGCCCCTTGGGGGTTATTTCTGTTCATTATCTATTGGACAAGCTGTGCGTCATACACCTGTCAGGATGATTTTCTGTCCATAAGTCACCTTTTTGCCTGTGTTACAACACTTTCTCAACACTGGAGCACTAAAGCCTAGTCCATTCTAGGCAATTTAAAATTGTGTTATGTATTGGTTCAAGACAGGTGTCTGACCTAAGAGAAACTTTAAGAGCTAAGATTCTGTACTATGTATGATTTGTCAGATTGATTCAAATTAGCCTGCCTCACTAAAAATATACTTACTATAGTCAAAATACCTCCTGTAGGAGAGTGCCTATCACCTTGTTTCTATAGATTCTCCTCTCCCCCACCCCCTGTATCATCTGGGGCTTTCCTTTTTGGCTGGTTGTGAAGACTAGGCAGCCCCTTCTGAGACAGTGGCCAGCAGAGCCAGCCTATCATGCTCCTTACCTATTACTGACAAATCTCTGTGCAGGTCACAAAATGAGTAGAAAAATAGAAAAACCATACTCTCCATGTTTGACTTACAAATGGGGTCAGTGTGTCACTTAGTTTTTGCTGTGTAGCAGACCACCCCACAACTTAGTGCCTTAAAATAACAATCATTTATTTGTAATTCTGTGGGTAGGCAGTGTGGGCTGGGCTCTGCTGGGCTGGCTCATCTCTTTTCCAACTGGTATGATTGGCTGAGCTTAATCACATGTCTGGGTCACCAGCCAGAGTGTCTGGAAAAGATGGGGAGACTGGAAAGGTTGGGATAAACAGGACAGCTGAAGTCTCTCTCCACCTGGCCTCCATCCTCTAGCAGGCACACCAGTCCTACTCACATGATGGCACAGGGTTCCCAGAAAGAGGCAAGAAAGACCAAGTCCCAATTCGTGAGCATTTTTCATGTCTCTTCTTATATTTCTTATATTTTCAAGTCTTTTCTTAATGTTTGCAATGTCCCATTGGCCAAAGTCACAAGGCCAGGCCTAGATACAAGTATTGGAGAAATAGACTCCATCTCTTGATGAAAGGAGCTGCAACTAATTTGTAGTCATTTTCTGTAATATCTTGTAGTCAGGATTATAAATTTTTTTTTATTGAATAGCCTATTTATTCTTACCACTGAGCGCATGCAGCCCCTGATTTTTGGATGCCTTGCTCTAAGGAGACAAAATCAATAAATTTGGAATATCTTTTCCTCCTCTTTCTTCCTGTGTTCAGACATGAGGGTAAGAAATATGGTGGTGTTCAGAATTCATAGGCACTTACCTTTTCCTCTAAGTGGAACCTATAGCATAAAACTTTTAGAAAAGTTAGAATATTCCATTGAAACTCTCTGGATGTGTTATCTCCATGGTATTACAAGTTCCATATGTGATGCTGAAGTTTGATATGAGCTTTATCAAGAAGTTAATAGCTAGTGGTAATTTTACTATTATTTTTCCTTCCTATGGGCTTCCCTCACCCTCATTCTCCACTTACCCTGGCCACCCGTCTTCCCCAGATTGTTTGAATTTGAACTAATGGGAGAGACTCACTGTAGTCCATGCATATCCTGTTTGGAGTCAGTGCCTCATAATGCTACTGAGTGTTCCCAACTTCTAAGACTTTGCCACAACTTTGTGTTAATACTTTATTCACATACACCTTTATTCATTGGTTTTAGTATTTATCTTAAAGTTTATACCTGCTTTACGACATTCAAAAACTTTTACAACATTCAAAAGCTTGCCAAATACTCTGCATATATAACTCTGGGAGGAATGATATTATACGTATACGAAATAACTATTGTAATGCAGAGGAATAATAGCTACATATACCTTTCTTTTCCTTAAAAAAATTGTTCTTTTAGGAAGCCACAAAAATTAAGTTAGGCATTGTTATCAAGTGTGAAAATGAAATTGGGATAAATAAGGGACATACTGAAGCAGTCAACCTTAAACAAAAAAGGAAGACCTGAATCTAGAGTTGTGCTTTTTCTAAATTTTTTTTTTGAGACAGAGTATCACTCTGTCACCCCAGCTAGAGTACAGTGGTGTCAACATCACCCACTGTGACCTCAAACTCCTAGGCCCAAATGATCCTCCTGCCTTAGCCATGGTGCCCAGATAATTTTTTCTATTTTTAGTAGAGACGGTGTCTCACTCTTACTCAGGCTGGTCTCAAACTCCTAAGCTCAAGCAATCCTCCTGCCTTGGCCTCCCAGCATGCTAGGATTACAGGCATGAGCCACCAAGCCTGGCCAAGTTGTGCTGCTTTTGCTCTAGCTTTCCTGGCTAAGTGTGTGCAGGCTGATGTATGGATTACCAACCTCTTCCTTGTTCCTTGTTCCTATAGTATCCACAGCTGTTTACAGGAATTCTTTCCCCCTGGAAAGGACTACTGTTGTACGGCCCTCCAGGTAAACACATCTTTCTATTTTGGTCTTGGTGTTAAGTGTGTGTGCAAAGGATGAGTTGCCCCCTCTGTCCTGACTTCAGGACTGGGCAAATGAGAACTGCCACTTCCTTTGAATGTGAGACTGACTTCCATCTGTAAGCAGAGCAACGGAGTTTAAGTGCCACTCACCTTTTATCCACATGTGTCTCTAGGTACAGGAAAGACTTTACTGGCCAAAGCTGTGGCCACTGAATGCAAAACAACCTTCTTTAACATTTCTGCATCCACCATTGTCAGCAAATGGAGAGGGGATTCAGAAAAACTTGTTCGGGTAGGAATTCTTTAATTTTGCTTTTAAAAAATAAATTCTAGCAGAATATGGTAATACAAAACAAAGTTAGAACTTATTTGTTTGCAAGTGATTTATGTGTTAGATTTTATCCTAGATCTTGATTACCAAAAGCCTGGGAAATGGATTGACTATTATTATATGTGGATATTAATCATGCCCCCATCAGCAAAACATGATCTCCCTTCCTTTGGGAATTTGACCAACAGCCCTTTTCTGATTCATGCAACTTAGGAATAGAAGCTGGAAAAAAAAAATACTGTAGTCTCTGAAGTGGCCTATTTTTTTCTTCATTCAAGAAGCATCTATTATTAAACACAGACAGTATATTCAGTTAAAATTTATTGAGAGGCTACTACTGTGCGCTCGTCCCTATGCTAGTTACTCTGAGAAAGAATCAAGACACTTAAAACTTAATTATTCTATCATATGTGCTGAGCAACTTTTCCTCCACAGTCCCCCATCACCTGTAGGACTTTTTGCTTTCCTTAAGAGGTTGTTTCCACCTTTACAATATCTCATTTATAGTCTATGGTATATTTTATATTATAAAATCATACTGTGTCTTCCAGTCATCTTAAGAGAACTCCTATTTATGATTTATGCCTTAATGTAAGATGGGTCCTTCTCATAAATCCTGTTCAATTGTCATATTCTGTAGAATGACAGATAAGTAATCAATACTAAGTGAATGTAAAAATATATATTTTTCTGAAAAATGATTACTCTAAAATATTATGCTTAAATTATACTGCTTGGATGAATCATTTTCAAAATATTATGGCCTATTTGGAAGTCAGAATATTTTTAAAGGATTGACTTACCTAAAATAACCTTTTATTGATGACTTTGATATTATTTTCAAGTTGTTTCAAATGTATAAGTGTTTATACATTATTACCCCTTCATGGAAATCTATGTTGACGTCTTCTGTTTCTTTGTTCTTCATCTTAAGTCTAATTCAGCACCAGTGCCAAAGATGGGGCTTGGATTCAGCTGCACCCACAGTTGTGGTTTCCATGTGATTCTAGTCAGCTGGATTTCAATTACAGTTGGCCCTAGAACAACATGTGTTTGAACTGCTCGGGTCTACTCATATGCATATTCAAGGGATGTGAAACCCAAGTACAGGCGGGTTCCCAAGTCCCGCAGGGCAGGGGGTGGAACCAATTTCCCGCATATGCCCAGGTACGACTGCAACAGAAATTCAACTAACTAGAATTCTTATTAGCCTAAGGACCTTTTTTTAACATTCCATTTCTGTGTGCTGAATAACAACAAAACTCTTCAATGATGAACCCGGAATCAATTTAGATTCATCTCCTGTCATGAAAGGTGGTGTTTAGAACCATGAGCACAAGGCATTGCAGGGTGCACAAGGAAAGATTACATTACCCTCCCTGGACAAATTTTACCTAGGCAGAAGAGTGAATTCAGATATTTTATGAATATTTTTAACAAAGATTGAAGCTACATGGATTTTCTTTTCTTCTTTTTTTTTTTTTTGAGACAGAGTCCCACTTTGTTGCTCAGGCTAGAGTGAGTGTCATGGCATCAGCCTAGCTCACAGCAACCTCAAACTCCTGGGCTCAAGCAATCCTTCTGCCTCAGCCTCCCGAGTAGTGGGACTAACAGGCATGCGCCACCATGCCTGGCTAATTTTTCCACATATATTAGTTGGCCAAATTAATTTCTTTCTATTTATAGTAGAGACAGGGTCTTGCTCTTGCTCAGGCTGGTTTTGAACTCCTGACCTCAGGCAATCCACTCGCCTCAGCCTCCCAGAGTGCTAGGATTACAGGCGTGAGCCACCACGCCAGGCCCGGATTTTCTTTTTTAATGTTGAACAGCCAGAAAAATCAATTAACATGAACTCTGCATCCTGTGTGGGCACTGTAGTTAACTAAAGTTTTCCTCTGCTCAGTATTATTTTGTTAGAATTCTAAGAGTGAGGAAATGATTCCTTCCCCAATTTCTCCCCTTCATTTACTATATATTTAAAAAGTAACTAGCTTTAAAAAAAGTACAAAAGTGTATACAGACTCCTGAGCCTTCTCCCCATAGTAGGCAACTACTTTTATATTAGTTGCTGGTGTAGCCTTCCAGAACATTTATCCATATCTACATGAATGTCAACAACGGTCTCTATGTCTCCTTTCCTTCTTAAGTGCAAGTAGGAACATATTATATGTCCCTTTCTGTACCTTGCTTTTCCTCCCTACTTAACAATATAACATGGATATTGTGCCACACTCTTATATACAGACAAAAACATGTTCTTTTATATGTCTACATGGTAGTTCATTGCGCAGATGTATGAAAATGTATTTAACCAGTCTTTTCTTAATGGGCATTAAGGTTGTTTCCAGTCCTTGCTATTATCAACAAAGCTCGAGTAGGCAGTCTTCTATATATACACGGTAGCGTAGGACAATTTCTATGAAGTAGAATTGCTGGGACAGAGGGAATGGACATCACTGATTGCCAAACGGATAGCCAACAGGGTTGTAATCAGCTTACAGTCCCATCAGGGGTTTGTGATTGTATTTGCTTCTCCATACTCTGGCCAGTATCATGTAGCACCACCAACGAAAAAAGATATTTTAAAAATCTTTGCCAATCTGAAAGTGAAAAGCAATAGAACGATTCAGGGATTGAATGTGCGTTTCAATATTTCAGTGCTCAAATGTGTATTTCTTTGATTCCAAATGAATTTGAGCGTGCTTTTACAGGTTTAGAAAATATTTGGATTTCTTTTTCCTATGAAATGCATTTTCATTTTGGATATTTAAAAAATAATTTAGGAAGAAACAGATAACCTCTGCTAACCTTGAAGGATCTTGTATCATTTCCTTTCAGAACTATTTTCTCCTTATTTTCTGAGCTCTTGGGAAGATCTTCACCTGGAAAATCTTGGTCATGCTGTCAGGCTCCTTACTCTGAAGCTTTCAGATAAGCCCTTCAGGACCTTCCCCTAAATCAGAGAAGCTTTTCTGCCATTTGTTTCTGTTTCTATTCCAATTAAAGAGTTATTTATAGGGAACCCTTGGGTTATGTTCCTCCCTCCCCTCCTAATGTTCGTGCCTCCTAGGAGTTGATCGCTATTGAGTAGTTGAGTGGTCTCTTTAGCAAATGCATACACCTGTTGAAGCTTACCTCTTTCAACACCACCCTCCCCCCTCCAAGGAAGTTAAATTGCATGATTTAACTTCCTTCAAGTACCTCTGAAAACTTTAGTCTAATGCTTCCAGAAGCATTTACCCAGGACTCTCTGTATATTTTCTGGGAGCAGAAAGGGCAATGGAGCGGGCCGTATGGAGACCTAGATCCAGAGGTGGTTCTCCTTCCAGCTGGATGTTTGGCCTAGAAGAGGTTCTTGGTCTCTCTGCCCTTAGTGAGCTCCTTAAAAACACATATGGTTCTAATAAAGTGTTCTAATATTCCATTTTTCATTGGGTAGATTGCCACTGTTGAAATCGCTCTTAATATCAGGTATAGTTGGGCTTTTTGTGTCTGTGTGACGAGAGAGGAAAGTCATGTGCTTCTTTTTTTTTTTTTTCTTTTTTTGAGATAAGAGTCTCACTTTGTTGCCCAGGCTAGAGCGAGTGCCGTGGTATCAGCCTAGCTCACAGCAACTTCAAACTCCTGGGCTTAAGCAAGACCCAGCTCCCGAGTAGCTGGGACTACAGGCATGCGCCACTATGCCCAGCTAATTTTTTCTATATATATTAGTTGGCCAATTAATTTCTTTCTATTTATAGTAGAGACGGGGGTCTTGCTCTTGCTCAGCTGGTTTCGAACTCCTGACCTCAGGCAATCCTCCCGCCTCGGCCTCCCAGAGTGCTAGGATTACAGGCGTGAGCCACCGTGACTGGCCAGTCATGGGCTTCTAATTAGGTGGTCTCTATTGTATCTAAAAGGCATTTGTGATGAGTGTCCCAGCATTGGCATTGTTCTTTCAGTTCATTAGACTGAGCCAATTGCTGCCAGAAAACAAGATTCTGTGAAAGGAAAATGCTGGCACATGAGCTTGGATGAACCCCACAGGGAGCGGTGGGGAAGTGGAGGAATTTCCCAGTCGGTGACAGGGAGAGCTGTAAGGGATACGCGTGCCCGTGAAACACAACCTGCCTTTTTCTGAGCCCTTCCTCCTATTTGTTCTGTGTTGCTTGCTAGTGCTAAGTGACATGGAGAATAAATCCCCCATGCCTATTAAAGAATCTCTATTCTTTTCTAAACTCTACTGCTTTCTCCGATCAACCAGTGAAGAATTGTATATGATGCTCAAGAGATCAGTTTCAGGGTTAAAAAAAAAAAGGTGTAGGTTGTTATATTCTTTTCATCACTACCACATCTCCCTTTAGAGCTCTTATTTTGTTTTTATATGTCTGTTCTTGTTGGTTGCCCTTCTGTTCTTGTTCAGTCTGTAATATTTTATTTCATTCTGGAATAGAACATCTTATTCAATTGCCTTCGAGTACCTGAGTCTACCAGCAGCAGTGTCAAGGGGGGCCCTATGGAGTAATTTGGGAGGAGCAAAAAGGGAAAATGCTTCAGCCTTGTTACCCATGGTGAACCCTGTCCTTTTCCTGCAATCCTGCCTTCTGAAAATAACCTTCCATTATCCCCAAAGGTTAAGGTACCAATTGATCCAAATGATTTGCATATCCAAGGTCTATGGCTATTATGGGCATGTTATTGGCAGGGTATCTAAGGGGTTACTAAGCCAACTGGAAGCTTTGGAAATGAGCTTTATCTTAAGTCTCTCCCTAGTAATCTTTTAACTCACCATCCTACCCTTCGACTCTAATTTTATCAAGTGACAAATGAAATAATTGGACCATCCACCCCATGGGGTGGTGGTAGGGAGAAATAATTGTAATGATCGTAAAGTTATTGTGAAATAGCAGAGTGGCAGTATAAATGCTCGTTATTACAGTCATTTCTGTGCTTTTCATCTCTGGAGCATCTGAGGCCTTTAA